GCAGACGGCAGGCAAAGGCAGAACATCAGCGGCGGGGCGGGGCGGGGCGGGGAGGGCCGGACCGAGTATAACGCTTGCCAAGTCTGCGCAAAAGCCTTCCGCCCCAGCGTGGCAATTGATGCTCCCAGCGTTCCTGCCCACTCCCCTCCCAACCGCACCCCGATCCGCACCCCTTCCACCTCCCCCACCCCTGCGCCCATCTGGACGGGGGAGATTGACCGGGGACCGCATTGAGAGCGAAGATCCTTCCCCTCCTCCCTCTGCCCCCCTCTCCACTCCGCCCCGTTGGCGCCGGGGGCGAACCACACTTTAGTTAACAGGACAGGTAAGGTACATCCTGTTTACAGAGCTGTCATCGCCATGGGGCCGGTGGGGTGCGGCGGTGTCTGGTCCGCTTCATGACAGTGTACGGCATTAGCATGCTGATAGGGGTCCAATTCCCTTTGAATGCATAAACCCCTGGCGAGCCCCGGCTCGAGCTCGGCTGCTGCTGCTGCCTTTGAGGCGAGCTGCAAAAGCGACCCCCCGCCGCCCCCGCGCGCCCCGCTGCCGCCACCCGTCGGCCCGACCCGCCCGACCACGCCCACGGGCAAGAACGACTCTCAAATATACATACAAATTATCGTCACATCACCAACACGCCGCACTGCGTGAATCTCGTTTTAAAAAAAACACACACACTCACACACACATAACAACAAAGTGCGAAAAAACTATTCTCTCAGTACCCGACAAAGTTCCCGAGTATCCGCCTTCGTGGACTTTATAGGCTGCACCAAGATTTACGAAAACAATTTCTACGGCGAGCCCAGCTCGCTCCAGCCTCGCCCGGCCCATTCCATTTCAGCCCGGTAGCCCGCGGCAATTCGGCACCCGGCCCCGGCACGGCGCGGCACTGCGGTGCGTATATAAAGCCTCCGCTTCTGCAGCAGACAACCGCGCCGTAGCGGGTGGGAGGGGAGGAGGGGCTGGGGGAGGGGGTTAGAGGCAACTCTCCCCTTTTCTTGCTCTTGCCACGGGTCCAAAATACGAGCTGGGCGGGGACGAGGGGTTGTGCTTCCGACCAGGGCCGGGCCCCCGCCGGCGGCGGCGCGGCGCAGTGGCGGCGCTGGAGAAGACAAGGAGATGGCTCCTCCCCGGCTCCAGGACGGGCTCCGGGCGGAACTGCCATCGCAAACAAGTCGTCGTCGTCGTCGTCTGCTCTCCGAGAGAGTGATCGAGGAAATAAAAGAAAGAGGGGGGAAAAGTTTTGGGCGCCACCGCGCGGGGCAGGGCGGGAGGGAGGAGGGGAGGGCGTTGGCACCCGCCCGCCTGCACCCCTTCTTGCTCGAGCGAGACGAACGGGGCGCGGGCGCGGCGGGCCGCCGCCGTAGGCCGCCAGTCATGATGTAGCCTGCGGTGGGGGAGAGGAGGTGGGGGGCCTACAGGAACGGCCGCCACCGGCTGTGGCGTATGGACCGGAACTGGACCGGAAGTAGACCACACGAACCCCCGTTGACTAACCTCAGGCAGCCCCTCTGCCCCCCGGCTCGCTGCAAAGCGAACATCCCCTGGGCAGACATATGCGCCCGCTGTCCCCGCTCACCGCGGCTCGCCGCCACAGCGCGACGTGGTTGATTGTCGGCTCGTCCCCTGAAACGGTCGGTCATCACTCACTTTTGGCCCTTCTCCGCGCTGCCCGGCGTCACGTTGGGCGGCGGCGGCAGGTCCCCTGGCGGCGGCTCCTCCTCGGGGGGCGTCGGCGGCGTCTTGTCGAACTCGGCCATGGGCGCCATCTCGGGCAGCGGCATGGGCGAGACGGTGTTGTCCATGTCCTTCTTCTTGAACAGAGGCACGGTGTCCGCGGGGCGGCCGAAGCGGCCTCCTGTGGCGGCGAAGAGCGGGTCGGCTCCTTTGTCCGACGGGTCACGCCCCGGCTGCAGCCGGCCTCCGGCTCCGGGAGAGGAGAGGGCGGGGCGGGGTAGGCCGTGCGGTAGGGAAGGACGGGGCGGGGCGCGCGGCGGGGCGGGGCGGCGTCCTTCCCGCCAAAACTAGCCGTCCGCGGGGCGCTGGCCGGGGCTGAGCCTGGGCGGCGGGG